CGCCCACAAATCAGCCGGCAGGCACTGGGACAAGGGAAGCCGGAGGTGGAAGGCGATCGCAGAGGTGTTTTGGGAATCGCCTTATGCGGACCTCCCGGCGCCGTCCAATGGCTGGGAAGCAGAGAGGGAGCTACTCTGTTTCAACAGACGCATCATGTTCCGGGGAGAGAGTCCTTTCGGGAACCGACAGGGGGCGGCCGGGATCAGGGCAGTCAAGATCGGCGACCTGCTCATCACCAGAGAGGACGAAAGCAGAGGCATCAAAGAGATTTAGACTTTGAAGGAAGAGTTTGTCGTGATAGCGTTAGAACCTAGGAAGCTAGGTGAGGGTGTTGGGAGTAGCGAGAGGAAAAGAGGTTCAATAAAGAGAAAGGGTACAATGATATAGGCAAGAGTTGGGGGTGCACCACCAACAGAAAGTATAACAAACTACAGCTACAGCTACAGGCACTTATAGATTTATATAAAATGTAAATCATGACACACCCCCTAAGTGCCTGCAGCGCATAGCAGTAGCAAGTCACACCCCCTGAAGGGGTACACCACGCAGGTGCAAGGCAGCAGGTGCAGTAGCGGTAGATGCAGGTGCGGAAGATGCACAGCCACGGTAAATGCAGCCATGGCGTGTGCAGGTGATGGCAGGTCGCCTGGAGAGCAGATGTGTGCGGCGGCAACGAGCGGCGGCACAAACAGGGCTTCAACGGCAGCACCTGCCGCACCACCAGCAACAGGCAGCAGGAGCAATTACACGATGGGGGCAGATGGGGCAGCTGCAGGTTCCACGTTAGCACCAAGCAGCCATTGCAGTTGCACGACGGGCAGGACAGAGGAGGAACAGCCGACAGAAAACAGGAGAGAGGAGGAGTAATGAGGAGGTGGCTGTGGCTGGTGCTGAAGCCATTGCTCCCACCACCCCCTCAACACCCCCCCCCCCCCCCACAGCGACTGGCGCTGCAGGGAGAAAGAAGGGAGATGGGCAGCGGCTGGTGCTGCAGAGTTCCTCCCGCCACCCCTTCACCCTCCCCTCCACAGCAGGACGCACGGCCCAGCGGCGTAGGGCAGGGGCGGCGCGGGCACTGCTGCAGATCCCGCACGCCATCCACCCCCGCCGTCTCCCCAAACAGCAGTTTCCGCGGCAGGGCGTGCGACGGGCGCGCAGATGCGGCGGAGAATAGGGAGGGACGGTCGAGCAGGGGCAGGGCGCTGGCGGTTACTGCAGCCTTCTGGCCGCCACACCCTTCCCCCCTTCCTCCCCCTCACAGCGACCGACGCTGCCGACGTGCAGGGCCGCGGCAGGGGGGGAAAGGTTAGGGGGGCCGGACGAGGGTGCGACGAATCCGCATCGGTCGCAACCGAGGCCGCAAACGCTCTGGCGCAGCTCGCCGCCGAGACCGTTTCGACAGTCGCGACAGTTGCAACCGTCGTAACTACGGCCGCGACGGGGGCCGTGACCAGCGCCTTGAGCGGGGGGATACGTGGTGGGCCCATGGGGAAAAAAAAAAAATAGGTCTTAGGACGACCTAGCTCTTAATACCATGTCGTGATAGCGTTAGAACCTAGGAAGCTAGGTGAGGGTGTTGGGAGTAGCGAGAGGAAAAGAGGTTCAATAAAGAGAAAGGGTACAATGATATAGGCAAGAGTTGGGGGTGCACCACCAACAGAAAGTATAACAAACTACAGCTACAGCTACAGGCACTTATAGATTTATATAAAATGTAAATCATGACAGAGTTCGGGAGCGTTGCATCAGCAAGATGGGCTAAGAAAGCGTATGAGGCGATTCCGGCGGAGTGGAAACTGATGCTAGAAACGCCAATGTCGGCGGAGGCGGTGGTGGCAGCAGCGAAAGTGATACGAACGGTGTTGACGCGCACGCAAGATTTCCTTTACTGGACGGTGCGAGGCGTTAAAGACGGGGAGGTGGCGACGGATCACTTGGACTGCACGGATGGATCAAACCTGGTAGCGCCGCAGCGGCCTTATGCGGTCGCTTTCCTAGTCAAAAGCGTGGCGCCGGTGGCGGTCAAAGGAGGAAGAGTACTCGGCGCCATGGGCGAGCCGAGGGCCAAGCTATGTCAGACCTCGCTTGTGGATGAAAACCTGAGGCCGGCTGCACCTAAGGAGATTAGCAGGGCGTTGGCGGGGCCAATAAGGGCGTCGAGGCGGAGACACGAGTGGGAAGAAGAGTGGGGTAATAAAATCGACTGGAAAGCAGTGAGGGAGAGGAGGGACTCCCTAGTAATCCCTTACAGAGCGCGGGATGTGGTGCTGAGGATGCACAACAAGAACCTACAGGTGGGGGAGAGGTTGGTTTTCCTGGGACCCAGGGGCTGCTGCTCGCACTGTGGAGAGCCTGAAACCCTAGTCCACTGTATGCTCACCTGCCCGGTCATCCAGCGGCTATCGGTGTGCTGCTGAGATCGTTGCAGATTATGGACCTGGCGGATCAGACGATGTCGCTAGGCGACATGCTGTTTCAAGAGGGGGCCACGAAATCCGGTTTTCCAGGGGCGACCTTGACAGCGGTGACGATGCGAAGGATTTGGTTGGCGAGGGTGGATGCGGTGTACCGAAAGGAGAGGTTCCAGAAAAAGAAGGTGGCACGGGCGGCTATCTACGACTTCATGTGCCATGGGAGGATCTACAGGGCAGAAAAGTTGAGAAAGGCAACAGCGGGGAATGTCAGGGGGCAGCCACGGGACCCGTGGGGCGGCCTGGCAGGAGATGAAAGGGCGGTGATTGCGAGGATCTGTGAGGCAGGGGAACAGGCCACGTGGAGAGTTGATTTCCTATCCATATGGCAAAACCCCAAGACTTTTCACCGGCCACCGTAGGCACGGGTAGGGGGGAGGCACCCGAGCTCCGGTTAGGGTCCGTCGGTTCCCTCCAGAATCCAGTTACGACTGTGAATGTATTTGCATGGATATAGTGCAAACTCGTTCTATTAAAAAAAAAAAAAAAAAAAAAAGTCTGACTGTACGGGGTTCCAGATTCCATCATTTCCGACCGCGACCCTAGATTCACCTCGAAGTTCTGGAAGCAGCTTTTTGCACTGTTTGGGACTCGCTCAGCCATTTTGTCTGCGTACCATCCAGAGACAGACGGACAGACTGAGCGCGTGAACCAGACCTTGGAGCAGATCCTTCGCAGCATCACGATGCACGACGCAGCCGCATGCAACAAGAAGTTGAGCACGGAAGAGTTCGCCGACAACAACACGCATCACTCCGCCACAGGCATGTCACCGTTCTTTGCACTGTACGGTCAGCACCCCAATGTCCCCACTCATGTTGATCTCACACCCACAGTCCCTCGTGCGAACAATTTCCATCAGCATTCATCTTCATCCACGACCACGTGAGGAATCACCTTGAGCTCGCAAGTGCACGCATGGCACACAACACCAACCACAGTCATCGTGAGGTGTCAATTGCAGTCGGCGACCGTGTCTGTTCCTCCGACTGCCACAGGACAGCAAGCTTCGCCCACGCTTCATTGGTCCATTTGTCATTGAGCGCGCACTTGGTCCAGTCGCATACCGCCTTCGCCTTCCCGCTCATTTCCGCATGCACCCATCATTCCACGTGTCTCTCCTTCGGCCTTACACCGATTCCAACGCCACCTTTTCGGGCCGTGATTGCTGTTGACACCGACGAGCCCGACTACTGGATCCAGCGCATCCTCAGACACCGTCGCCGTCTCCACAGGGGTGTCTCTTTCATCGACTTCTTTATTCGTTGGCGTGGTTACGATGCAGCCGACGACAGCTGGGTCCCTTCGTCCTCGCTGTCTCCCGATAACGCTTGCTTCCATGCGTACCTTCAGTCTGCAGGCGCCGCGGACGTCGCCTCCTTGGGAAGGGGGTAGTGTTGCGGGGTAGTTCACTATTCAAAGGTGGTTTACCCTAAACAGTATCCCAACCCTATCCCAACCTTATGTTCATCGAACTCATCCAAGATTTCCTTGTGCCACGTGGCACTCAACTCTTCTAGCATTCCAATTCCTTGTCCCACAAACTACTTTCCAACATTCTCTCTTGTTCGCTATATAAACCTCTATTGTACTTGCCAATATCAACCATTTCTCAACCAATTCTTTTTCAATTCTTCCACTACTCAGTAACTCCTTCGCATATTTCGCCAATAGTTCTTTCGCCAAAGTCTTCTGCCGCGATTTTATGCTCGACTTAGTCGACCCTGCTATTTGCTAGCTAATTTAGGCCAGCGGGCCTAACAGCATCCCTAGCGTATTGCGTTTTTGCGTATATACGCCAGCGTAAAAATGCAATACGCCTTCCCAGCAGAGCGCATACTCTTTTTTTTTTTTGGCAAATCGTGTTTGATCCAAACTGTACAGTGTTCAGGTCAAATATGTTTGAGTGTTTGCCAAAAACACTAAAACCGTGTTGAACACAAACATGTTCAAGTGTTCAAAATGTTCAAGTCGAGATTCAAGTGCCACTGGAAGGGGAGGGGCTCGAGGAGGACCTGAAGAGGTTTGTGCGCATCTGTTAGGTTGTCGTGACTTAGAGCGATTTCGGATATAGAATTGGCCCCACTATGTAAAATCGTCCATATCGGACAAAATTTGTGCAAAACTAAGACTCAATAGGAAACATCTGACCTTTATTCCTACCCGCACGCCTCTGGTCTCAGGGTGTTGAGTCGAAATGTTAAGCATTCAACTTTTATGAAGATTCGAGCGGCCACCCGTTCAATGCGGCTCAAGAACAGCAGTCAATCAGAGCTGACATGTTTGACCCGAACACCTATGTGTTGGGGTCAAACACATCTGGGAAAAAAAAACTCTGTTCGGTTCAATTCGAACAGGTTCGAGTGGAACCAAACAGGGCTTTGCCCATCTGCTCTGTCCACGCTGCTGGCAGCGGTCACCTGTGAAAAAGCACACACATTAAAACAACAATCTGCTCCTGGCCTGTGAGTTTTGTCACGTCCTAGTGGCCCTATAAAGAAGCCACTCGTTTCCTCGCTTCTTAACAGACGTTTGAGGTCCAACCTATTTCACGGAACAATCCCAGCAACATTCTCGGCCCTAACAAAGCTATCTGTTATGTACGTATTCTGTGTCTCTCCCTCTTTCCATCGTCAAGCCCCCACTCTGTCCTTGTCTATGTCCCTTGTGCCTTCCTCACTCGGATCAGTTCACCACTCACCGTGCCCCCTCTACTGCAGAGACCTGTCGTGGAATCAGCTGACTGGTACAATACCTCCATTTTCAACCAGCATCCAGAAAATGTATGTCACTTCTCTCCACCTCCTGCCCCACTTTCTCAAACTTAACCCCAGCACCTTATACTTCCCATCTTCATAAATCCTCTGTACGTTTGTGATTCAGCTCCTCTGTGTTCCTTTTTATGGTTAGACTTTTCCTATCCGTTGTTTCTGTGCTCTGTGGCCTTTTCATGGTTCTCCTATGCGTTTGCATATTCAAAAGCCTCTGGCGTCCTTTGACTGTGACTGCTAGCCTGGATTCGTTCAGCCAATCAAGCGGAAAGCCATGAAAAAGGATGCACCTTCTGGCTGTTCATGGAACCTATGCACGCTCCCTTGGGAAGGAGCCACTCACCATTCCAGTGAGATAGTCCGCATCAATGGCTGAATGAAAGGCCGCAACCCAAAATTTGTAATATTTCTCAAGGTTGAGTGTTGGGTGGTCGGGGCGGTGAACGCGAATTTGAACAAGGTGTAGGGAGGTTGGCTTGTCAGATTTCGCCCTACCTCTCTTTCGCAACACTTGCTGCGCCAGAAAAACTTCAAGGGGCCCGTGTATTGGGGAATGGATAATACAAAATTGCAGAGATGAGAAGCTTGAAGATTTTGCAGTGAGAATTGCCTCGACCAATCATTTTTCTTCGCACCTACCGTATTCAGGAATTCGCCAAGCAACCTAACCCAAAATGCTAAGTGTGCAACATTAGTCATCTTGATTCTTGCCCCGCGCGCTCCGCAATTTGGGCTGCGGGCTTTACGACGGTCCTTTTCAACAAGCTCCCTTGCAAAACACTACACGTCTAACTCCAATCAGCCCTACGTGATTCTCACCCACATCGTTGCTCTATCTTATGGCTTCCTGCCTTACCTTGCCATGCCAAGTCACAACACCCACTCAATCTTTCTCTCTGCATCCCTATACCAGCATAGAATTACACACCTTCCCCCCTCCTTGTTTTGCACACTGTTAATCTCTACATCATTTCACTTTAAATACCCCCTCTCTTCCCTTCATCCCTCCTACTTCACTCTTCCATCTTGTCTCTCTTGTCCCTATCGCACCATCAGCTTCTTCATCCCTCCTTCCCCCCGTTCATTCTCGCCTCACCCGTCGCTCCACTCTTTCCACTTTTACGAACATCACACCTCTTTTTGAGAGTGGCACTCAAACGTCGGAACCATTCTCTGCTCCCCTTCCTGTCCTGTCTGCCTATCCAGATTGCTCGACTACAATACCTTGAGTGGGCCCATCCCATCACACCTGGCACTGCCCGACCTCTCCCTTCTGTAAGTTCCCCCATGTTTGACCATTTTTGCGCACTCAACTTCAAATCTCCATCTCCATTCACCCCTTGGCCTCTCCGGTCGCCTCACTATGTGTCTAGCCCTATTTCACAAATCTTGTGTCGCTTCCTAATCTGCAATGATATCTGTTTGGCTGCTCTTGATGCAGTCGGTTATCCAACAATTTGCTGACAGGAGGCATTCCAAACACCTTCACTCGCCTCTCTTTCATGTATTTTCTGTATGTACCCCCCCATTTACCCCCTCCCTGTCCCAACGACTCTATTCTGCTGCATGAACAGAATCAATTGCTGGGCCTCACATGTTACGGATATTTCATTTCCGTGCGTTTGCAGTTGCTGCGTTCCCATCCCTATGCTCGTTGCCTCTTACATGTGAGTGCAAGCGCGGGTGCGTGCGTGTGTGTGTGTGTGTGTGTGTGTGTGGTGTGTGTCCGCACGTGTTTTACTTGACAGAGAGATTGCTGGCAACAATCTCACCTCAGGCCTGGACGTGGTGGCTCAGATGACATGGCTAGGTGGCATGTCAGTGTTCTCCCCTCTTCATCTCCCAGCAGTCCCCTATTGCCTTCACCTTGCCTCTCATCACTTCCCTTCATCCACTTTGACTGCCTGCAACATCCCTTCGTCCTCTGAGGCGCTCTCTCCAATAATGGCATTGCAGACTTCTCAATAACAACGGTTTCACTGGTGTGATTCCAGCGTCCTTTACAGCAATGTGGCCTCGAAAGCCTGTGAGTCCTCTTGAGTCTTCTCTCACCTCATCGGTGCAACCACCCCTTTCGACGCACGCACCTAAATGGGTGGGGTGGGATGCAGCAACAGTAAAGGTTGGGAACGGCCCCTAATTATTCTAAGCTCACCTCAGTATTACTCCGCCCACTTCTATAGCCAGCATATGTAGCCATTGTATTCCAATTCATGGTGCATGAACTGTCAGAATGTTATTGTCTAGCCTGCAGTGGGGTGCTCAATAGTGAGTACAACCCCTTAGGGTTTCCTATATGTATCCTGCTGCTTGCTAGTTCATCATCATTCCCATTCTCACAATTCTCCTTCGTATACCACAAACCCTAGTCCTAGGGCACAACCTACTACCTCCTAGTGTGGGCCTAGGCTACTAAGCCTAGGCCCCACTCCTAGTATTCCTGACATGGTATTCAGAGCAGGCACGTTCCTGCCGCCTTCCTGTATGGGCCCACCACCTGCTTCCGCTGCCGTACTGTCCGCCGCGCGCCCCGTGGTGCGCGGCGGCCAAACCCTAATTTTTCATCCCGCCGCGCGCTCGGAGCGTGCGGCGGTTCTCTGCCCGCCGTGCGCCCCGAGGCGCACGGCGGTTTTCTGCCCGCCGTGCGCCCCGAGGCGCGCGGCGGTTTTCTGCCCGCCGTGCGCCCCGAGGCGCGCGGCGGCTTTCTGCCCCGTCACTCCGCGAGTCGCCCCCGGGAGGAGCTGCGACGGGCGACGGGGACCCGCGCGTCGCCCCCCGTCGCCCGTCGTGGCCCGAGCGACTTCCGTAGGGCCCGCGCGCGGCCCGTCCAGCCTGCGCGCGGCCCGTACGGGCTGCGCCAGGCCCGCGCGCGGCCCGTACGGGCTGCGCCAGGCCCGCGCGCGGCCCGTACGGGCTGCGCCAGGCCCGCGCGCGGCCCGTACGGACTGCGCCAGGCCATGGCGCACCTCGAGCCGCCCGCCACTGCAGCAGCAGCCCCTGGAGCCGCCCGCAACTGCAGCAGCAGCCCCTGGAGCCGCCAGCACCTGCAGCAGCAGCCCCTGGAGCCGCCCGCAACTGCTGCAGCAGCCCCTGGAGCCGCCAGCAACTGCAGCAGCAGCCCCTGGAGCAGCCGCCACTGCAGCAGCCGCCCCTGGAGCCGCCCGCCACTGCAGCAGCCGCCCCTGGAGTCGCCCGCCACAGCAGCAGCCGCCCCTGGAGCCGCTCGCCACTGCAGCAGCCGCCCCTGGAGTCGCCCGCCACAGCAGCAGCCGCCCCTGGAGCCGCCCGCCACTGCAGCAGCCAACCCTGCAGCTGCATGCGACGCCGCTCCTGGTCCCGGTGCAGCCGCCTCCTTTTCCTGTCACCCGCAGTCTTGTTCCTCTCGTGCTGTATGTGTCGCTTCTAGCCCGCTCCGTGTTCGTTCGTCTTGCTCGTGTATTTGTTTGTTTTGCCTGTGTTCGTTTGTTCTACCTACCTACCTACCTACCTGCGCCCTCGTGCCTTGTGCCTTGTGCCTCGTGCCTCGTGCCTCGTGCATCGTGCGCCCTGCTCCGCGCTGTTGCTCTGCACGCGCGGTTGCCCGCGCCCTCGTGCGCTCTACCTACCTACCTACCTACCTGCGCCCTCGTGCCTTGTGCCTTGTGCCTTGTGCTTCGTGCCTCGTGCTTCGTGCCTCGTGCCTCGTGCCTCGTGCATCGTGCGCCCTGCTCCGCGCTGTTGCTCTGCACGCGCGGTTGCCCGCGCCCTCGTGCGCTCTACCTACCTACCTACCTACCTGCGCCCTCGTGCCTTGTGCCTTGTGCCTTGTGCTTCGTGCCTCGTGCCTCGTGCCTCGTGCATCGTGCGCCCTGCTCCGCGCTGTTGCTCTGCACGCGCGGTTGCCCGCGCCCTCGTGCGCTCTACCCTACCTGCTCCGCGCTGTTGCTCTGCACGCGCGGTTGCCCGCGCCCTCGTGCGCTCTACCCTACCTGCTCCGCGCTGTTGCTCTGCACGCGCGGTTGCCCGCGCCTTCGTGCGCTCTACCCTACCTGCTCCGCGCTGTTGCTCGGCACGCGCGGTTGCCTGCGCCCTCGTGCGCTCTCCCGCCCCGGCCCTCCCCCCCCCCTGCGTCCCCTGGACAGGAGAGTGTGGGGGTGGCGGGTGTGGGGGTGCTCCGTGTGCGTCGCCCCTTCCTTCTCCTCCGTCTCCCACTGCTGCAGCTGCCGCTGCGGGGGGGTGGATGTGTGGGAGACGAGGGAGTGGCGCTAGGGGGGTGATGTGGGCGTGGAGCGAGTGGTGACCCTGGGGGTGAGTGTAGGGGGGAGTGAGACAGTTGGAGGAGGTTGCAACCTGGTGCTCCTGGTGCCCGTGTGTCTGCAACTTCAGTCGTCGCCTCCTCTCATCTCTCCCTCCACAGTTCCTCCTCCTCCTCACTGGCCTCCTGTGACTGCCACTAGCTTTGCTCATATTTGTGAACTATTGCACTGCCTGCTCATTGTACTGATTGCACCCCACTTTGGCTATGGGGGTGTGTCAGAATGTTATTATTGTCTAGCCTGCAGTGGGGTGCTCAATAGTGAGTACAACCCCTTAGGGTTTCCTATATGTATCCTGCTGCTTGCTAGTTCATCATCATTCCCATTCTCACAATTCTCCTTCGTATACCACAAACCCTAGTCCTAGGGCACAACCTACTACCTCCTAGTGTGGGCCTAGGCTACTAAGCCTAGGCCCCACTCCTAGTATTTTGACATGAACACATGTGTGCAAGACGAAATTTTTTTTCCGTATACATTTGTACACTCTCATATCTTCGCGCGTCAGGCTCCCTCTGTTTGTATGCATCCACACCTTTTCTCATGCACCCATGTGCCAGTTCCAGAGCCCATCGTTTTGTCCACATAATCGTCCACGTGTGCAGTGGCCTGTACATGAGCGAATGATTGTGTACTTTCTCATGCATGTGTTTCATTGTTTCCCCACCACACCCGTATCTTGGGCATCATCCCTTCAGGAATGTTGGGAACAACCATCTCACTGGAACATTCCCCAATTTTATTCTTCGCCAGGAGCTCCTTGTAAACCTGTAAGACTCCACTTGTAACCTCAAACGAAAAGAAGGTTGCACTGATGAAACTGTTGGGTGCAAATATTTATTTTTTGCACGTCAACCAGCCGCCTGCGTCACATAATGCATTTTGTGTGTGCGCGCATTTGTTCTTGCATGCGTGCGTTTCGTTTTCATTCGTAATTGCATTTTGTGTTTGTGCGTCTTCATTTGCAATTTCACTGTCCTCTTGCAGCTTTCATGAAGCGCTCAAATGAGGCTTATATGAAGCGCTCAAATGAGGCTCTTATGAGGCGCTCAATGAGGCTCCAGCGAAGCTCTCAAATGAGGCTCTCATGAAGCTCAAATGGGCTCCCTTGAAAGTTATATGGGACTCGAATATTTCATGCGAGACTCATCGGGGCTCCATGCGAGCAAATGGTGTATTGGGGGGGCTCGAATGTTTGACTGGCGAGGGGCTGCCAGTTGACTTCTGTCGCGCGAGTCAATGGCGCGAAAGTCAAGACCCACATGAGGAGTCCTGGCATGCGTGTGTGGCTTCACGGGGCATGCGCGTGTGCCGCGCAGTGTTGCGAGCATGCTGTACACCTGTTCTGCGATAATTCCACACCCCTTATCTTCACACCATGGGGTACTTACCCTCGGGAAGTTTGATTTCGAAGGTAGTTCGGAACGAGCGTTGAACTATCGGGGATAATGTCACACAATCCCAACGCTAGCTTACGGAAACAAACAAAAATAGCTCTAGAAATTTTCCAGCAATCTCGGTCCATAAAGAGCGAGTTTCGGGAGCCCAGTACCTGCCGGTCCAGATTGCTAGACCCGTTCTGTCAGGGTGTGCATCGAACCGGACTGACCGCCCTGAAAGGGTATTTGGAAAGAAAATGTTCAGGGTGTGAAATTATCGCAGTTTCGGTGTACAGCACGATGCAATAGGAAAGGGCACGTTTCGGCCCTGTCCCGTAACTGTACACGCACATGATCGCAATCATGAGCGCTGCACAGCCAAAAAAAATCTCGGTCGTGGCATATGGCAGGTGGGGACGCGAGGGATTTTCATTGAAAAACAGAATCTCGCGCTGACTCACGGAACAAGAAATTGCGCGCGAATCTTACGCCGCATAAAAGAATGATTTTTCCGCAGGTACAATTCGGTTGCTAGCGTCATCAAACGGTTAAATCTGTTTTACAGCAAAAACTCGAATGAACTCCATGTGAGGCTTCTGGGAGCCACATGGGAGCTACATGAAACCACAGATGTTCATGGGAGGAGCAATGGAATTGCCTCATGTTAGGGCGCGTTCGTTCCGTCCCCAAGTTCGAAAATAAGTTCGACCTTTGTCTGGTTACCTGTTTCGCAAATTTCGGGAGCGCCGTTTAACGAAAGTCGCCCAAATCACTGCTTTTGAAAGTTCGCCCTTTGAAAGTGAGCCTGGCTCGAGTTGAGCTTGTGAACGTGGGTGCGCACGTACAAGCGAGCGTGTGTGGTTTGGAGCACGTACGACGACCAGGCGAAACGGGTGATGAATTGGCGAAGCTCTACATGGCACAACGAACGCACGCTGCGACAAGGGCGCGTGTCGCCGGACACGTGTCACCGTTCGTGGCACGACTCCAGAATCTTCACGACCGCTGTTCAGCCATCTTGACAAATATCTGTGGTGCCACGGGGGCTATTTGTACCCCAGAACGCACGGAGCACACAGCTGTGTTCGAGGCGAACAGTGTTCGAGGTTCGCCCGAACACGTTCGTGTTCGGGCCGCTGCTGCAATTTGCCCCGCAACGAACACGAACGTGTTCGAGGTTCGCCCGAACACGCCTTCATAGGCGAACGGCGAACACCTGTTTTTCCCTATGTGTGATTGAATCTTTGCAGTGTTTTTCAGTCAAGGTGCGAACTTCGGTAAAAGGAAACTCGAATTCGATTCAACATAAGTTCAAAAGTGAAATTCGCCTTAAAAATGTAAACTTTAGCCAATTTGACGGAACGAACGCGCCCTTACAAGAGGAAAAAAATGCAACATCCTGAGAAATTATGCAACTGTTTCCAAGTATAGCATGGCAAAAATCAAGGACCTTGTTTTACAATTGTTTTATGCTTGCCTTTGTGTGTGCGTAGGATTTTATATAGATGTGTGCTTGTTCATTAAAACAACAACTGTTTTTCACTCGCCTTTCAAGTTCATATTCTACTACTACCTATTGACGAGAGTAGAAACGCTACCGTGGTGCTGCCTGAATTTTGCTCGACCAGATTACTCGTTTTACAAGCATAAGCAAGGCATAACTACTCACTTGTTTCTCTTACGCCTTGGCTGGGAGGTGACAAGCTGTCACACTCCAAAGGCTGCAAGTGATGTGAAGTGTTGCCAAGTTTTGTTTGTAGTTCAAGTTAATCGTTTCCGCATAACGTTATAGCTATTAACGGAAACAAACGCTGCCATTTCTTCCAGTACTTCCTGAAACAAATACATGAACAACTTTAATGGCAATTGCAATAAATGATGCTCATTGCAGGAACTTGGGCAACAACAATTTCACGGGGACTATTCCCGGTGAATTGAGCAACCTTGTCTACTTGTCGGACATGTAAGTTGCACCACAACTTGATCCACCGCTCCGAACTTTAGTGGATCTTAAAAGGGACGGGGCGTGAACGAAAGAAGAAAAATTGTCAAGTAGGGTCTGTAAGTCAGTATCGTCCATTCCCCAAAAATAATTGGCGTCACATTGAGGCTCTTCATACCATTTCCCAGAGATCTCAGTTACAACAATTTCCATGGAAGGTTTCCATCTGGCCTGCTTCAGAGATCCTTGAAATACCTGTAAGTTGCTCCTATCCTATACTCTTCTTTCAGAACATATTCTTCCTTGGTGTGCCTTGAACTCTTTCGCTTGATGAAACGGTGAAGGTCGGTATATGCATGCAAGAGTAATTACGACTACCCCTGCGATATCAAATGTTATTTGCGAGTACTCTTCCACATACTGAGTCAGGTATTCGCATCTCCCATTTCTCCCTGCATTTCTCAACTACTTCATTTTCGACCCCAGGCCTGTTGCCTATCTCTCAAAGGCCCACAATTCGTTTATGTGATCAGGCTTCCTTGGGTTCCTAACAGCTGCATCCAGCCTTCCCTCTAATTTCCCATGTTCCCAAAACAGGGATGTATCTAACAACTTCCTTTCTGGGGAGCTCCCACGGACTCTCAGTGCCAACCCTTTTCTTTACATGCTGTAAGTAGTGCAACGACTTGGTGCTTCTACCACTATGTGCGCTGCCACCACAATGTGTGCCGCCACCACTGTGTGTGCTGTCACCACTTTTTCCCTTCATGGTTAGCTTTCATGCCACTAGAATCTTCGTTCGCTCCTCTTGCATTGTGCAGTAGCCTGGGAGGAAACGGCTTCACAGGCTCCTTACCAAACTTCTCACGCTGGAATGTCAGCTGTGTGCAAATGTAAGTACGCCTCCCCCCTCTCTTCCTCCTCTTTAGCAATGTATGGTTTGCACTGCACCCATAGTAAGCAAGTCTGTTCACCTCTCACTCTTATCAGGCTATCGTGTCGCTGCCTCGCCTGTGTTGTGGCTCAGAAATTTCAGCGGCAACAACTTCACAGGGTCAATTCCCGACTCCATCTCCACCCTCACCAACCTCGAGGGCATGTGAGCAACGGACCAAAATGCCTGCCTTCCGCACATTACCAGACAACCATTCCCATTTGAACGCTTTTGCATGCAGGAATATTGCAGCAGTGGCATCTTATGCTTGCTGCATTGTCTGTGTCCTAGCTTCACACGCTTAATGAGCATTTCAACCAATGTACCTTGTGCCATGCCCCTACAGTATTCTCAACAACAACCAACTGACAGGCACCATCCCCTCTGCCCTCTTCACCATGACGAATCTGAATTATCTGTAAGGCTCAAATGTTTAGGAATCTCCTCATAAAATCCCCATCAAACGTTCCTACCTCTGCAACATGGGACTTTCCTGCCCCAACCTCTTGCATTGTCAGTGCCCATCAAGCATTCCCAGCTCGTTACTTCTCATCGCACTGTCTCCCTGCCAATGCGCTTCAGCTACTTGGCCAACAACCACCTGACTGGCAGTCTACCAGATGCCATCAGCCGACTGGAGCATCTCCACCAGATGTGAGGGTGTTATCTGCCTTCTTCTCCATTTTTTTCGAGACCGTTGGCAGTGTAGAAGCAATACAAGCAGCACAAGCACGAGTTTACACTAAAATTCTGGTACACAACGTCTGGCAAACGTCCTCAATGTGAACATAGTTACACACACACACACACACACGCACACACACACACACACACACACACACATACACACACACACACACACATACACACACACACACACACACACACACACACACACATTTAATCTGCATATATATTCACACAATATGACCTGTGCCATCTCCAATCTATTGACTCCCCACGCAAATAACACTTTCTGCTCTTTGTGCCACCGCTGGCACCTTGCTGCCACTGCTGTGCCTCACCCCGCAGCTGGTTGGACAACAACAGGATCGAAGGTTTTCTGCCATCTAGCCTGTGCTTGCTTCCCTGGTTGTGGCGCTTGTGAGTGGCTATCATACATAAATGATCTCTATAAGAGATTGCGGAGACATGTCAGGATCGCATTTTGAAAGCATCTATGTATGTTGGCATATACGCTAAGGCCCTAAAGCATATAGCGTATACACGCTGGAGTGTATACGCAAAATCCTACACGCTAGCTATTATGCTATTAACAGTCATTATGTTCTAGGCCCAGAAAAAAAAAGTCGTATGTACAAAGTATAGGCGGATTTTCCTTGTAAGCATTTCGTCGAAGTCGAAATGCATGTGGTCTAGGCAAGTGGGGATGTGTCATTGAACTTGTTAAAGTTAGTACCGCGTTGAAACTCATCCCATCTACAAAATCCAACCTGTCAATAATGTCCTTTAACAAACCTCACACTACCTCCAGCCAGCCAAAATGCACGTGTCATTTACAATTGTACATTCTCACGACTTCCTCCCGCACATTCCTCCTCCTTCTCGCGACCCACTTTCCACCCCACCCGTTGTTGAGACTTATGAGAATGAGTTGTACCTTATTGATGTTGAGCACAACATTCCTTTTCACCCTGCCTGGGAAAAATCCCCCCTGCCCAAAACAAATTGTAATGCAAAACATGAGCTAAAAGCATATTAATGAAAGCGTGTAAGCGCGATGCGTATATACGCTAAACACGTATATGCCAACATAGGTTTGTATACGTGTTGCATTCACGATCTTGGATATTGAAATAATGTGGGAAATCGTATCACCTTTGTGTCTTTGCCATTTTGTATCGGTGTGTTACTCATGGTGCACCATAATGTATGTTGTGCTGCTGGCAGGATGATCAGCAACAACTACCTCTATGGACCCCTGCCAGACTGCCTCTTCGACAACTGTATTAACCAAATGTAAGCCAACCACACATACTGTATTCTACCATCTATGCAACAACTCACATTCTCTAAACTAGATGGGCGTCCCAACGAGTGATGACATCCATGGGCTTGGTGGAGACGATATGGTGGGATTACCTTTGACCGAACACTCAACACCATTATCTGCCCTTTGTATGGCCTTGTGCTTCCCACAATAATGTGAGTTAACGCCGTGAATTTCTTCTTGATACCAAGCATGCAGCAGGTCGCTCCCCTGACACTCTATGCAAAGTGTGATGAGATGTAGCACACTGTATGGTGGGACTGCCTCTGTCTGCACACTCCTGCTTCCCACAGTGATGTGAGCAGCAATAGCCTGTATGGGCGTATCAACCGCGACTTCAAGAGCATGGTGGCGGATGGTGGTGCCCTCATCAACTTGGCTAACAACTTCTTCTTTGGCGAAGCTGTGCTCTTTGCTGCCGGCTGCAAGGTCTGCCCCACCGAGGTCAGCGAGCCCAACAAACTGGACTTGGAGGGCACCTTGGAATTTAATTTAAACAAGTGCACTTTTATTGGGGAAAATATCCCCCCTGCATGGGCAGGCAGGGAGGTGAGGGTGAGTCTGTTGGGCAACTGCCTGACCCTCAGCCCAAACACCGAGTGCTCATCCAATGCCACCCAGCGCAGCACGCGAGCCTGCCAGACGTTCTGCAGCATCACGGACAATGGCCCGTGTGACGGCCATGGGGCGTGTGTGCCGCCTGCCCCCGCCTCCTCCTCCAACTTCACGTGCCTCTGTGATGCCGGGTACAGCACTCTCAACTCGGGCAATGGCTCCACATGCGCCATCGTCAACTCCACCACCACCACCACCACTGGTAACCCTTCCATAATTTCTTACAGCGTTGCATTAGTCTTACGTGGTGCACCATTAACCATATCGAGAGGCCTTTCTTATGCATACATAATCACTCTTTTCCTCTTCTCAACACCAAACACCTTCCTGATTGAGTTTACTTCCCTCCCATGGCAGTGCCTTCTTTGTCTACGGGTGCCATAGTGGGCATTGTTCTGGGATGCTTTGCTGGCTTCACTCTGCTGGCTGCTGTGGTCGTATGGCTGATGTGGCCCCGCGGACCAAGTGAGCCCCTTGCCCCTCTCCCCCATTGCTGCACGACATTCCTGGCTTCCTTCCCTGCGCCCCTGCTCTGCTCTCATTCTCTTTTCCGCTCATTTATACCCGTGGTCTCTCACTCCCATTATCCTCCTGTGTGCACAGAGAAGTGGGAGGGTTTGGATGTGTGTGAGCAGTTCTCGCTGCAGCAGATGTTGAGTGCCACCAACAGCTGGTCGGAGGACAATGTACTGGGCAAGGGTGGCTTTGGCATTGTCTACAAAGGCCGCTCACCACAGGGCCATCTGTGGGCCATCAAACGCTCCACCATCATGACCAACGACTTTGAAAAAGAGGTGAGGCATGCTTTCCAATCCACCCACCACATAGGACAAAATAAAAAAGTCACTCTATTTTCCATAATGCTCACCTTTCCATATCCATGTAAAACTGTCTGTATTCTTTTATCACTGCAGGTGCGAGCTATGGCCTCTCTCCACCACACACACCTCGTGCGTTTGCTGGGCTTCTGCCTGGACCAGAACGTGGAGACGGGCAAGCAGGAGCAGATCCTGGTGTATGAGTTTATAGGCAACAGGGATCTGCAGTACCATATCCATGCGACCAATAGTGAGTATAACTGGAACAATTCAAGGCAGTTTCTCTTTTGCACTGGCAATGACTCTATCACTTACAAATCGTGTGTTTTGCTCGGGGTACGACGTTTCATGGCCCAGATCCGCTCTCGCTGCACCAGAGGTTGCACTTGGCACAGGGAGCAGCAGAGGGCCTGGCGTACCTGCACGGATTTGACACACCCATTGTTCACCGCGACATCACATCCTCGTGACTGAAGACATGCAAGCCAAGGTGGCTGACTTTGGGCTGCTCAAGCGCCTCACTCACGGCGATGCTGATGCCACGCGAGTGGCCGGCACTCCGGGCTATGTGGATCCGGACTATGTCCGCACCCACGTCATCACTGCCAAGAGTGATATCTACAGGTGTGCATATTTGTTACTTTGCACAACATGATTGTTTGTTTGGTTGTTTGATTGCTTTTTCTCAGGTTTAAGTCGATTACCCATACCTTCCATTGCAATCTCTACATCTGCTCATATCTCAATTTTTTTCCTCTTTCAAATGGCATGGTTGCCTGCAGCTTTGGAATCGTCCTTCTTCAATTGCTGAGTGGAAAGACTCCCCAAGTCGACGGAAAAACGCATATTAGCAAATGGGTATGCTACCCAATTTTTATGTCACACGAGTTAAGAAAAAAAATCAAATACGAAAATATGAGAACGAGTATGCCCATTTATGTTCATATCCGTTTCAACTTTCAACCTTTTGTAGCCGCTCAGTTATTCTCTTGAATCCTTGTCATCATGGATTTACTGCCTTGTTGTGATGCTTCCTTCTGCTCGGTTGCTCCTTTCTTGCATGGACGTCATGCAGGCAGTGAAGCTGGTGGAGGCGTATGAGCTGGGGGAGCTGAGGGATAGCAAGATGCCAGCGGCAAGCGAGGAGGCTATTGTGGACTTTGCAGACCTGGCTCTGGACTGCATCAAGTCTCCAGGTACACGGCGACCCACCATGAAGGATGTGGCATACCGCCTTAGTGCCCTAATTGACAAGGAGGACGCGAGGGAGAGCGTTGCTAAAGACGAAGGGGCAAGAAACCAGGATATTCTTTCAAAGAGTGCTTCTCCCTAGTCGTCTGGAGATGGAGGGAGGGAGCATGAGAGGTCTCATGGCTCACGATCTGGTGGGCTCTCATTCACGGATAATTTCTCGATGAGTGATAGCCTCAAGAGCTGGCTGCAATTGAAGCCAGCCGAAGGGTGATGGGTTTGAACACAATGACAGCATTTTTTCTGTGTTGACGGATGCAATATATCCCCATATACTTTATGATACAAGGCAGATATGTATAATTTATTTCTTTATGTTATGATATTGTCAAACTTTATTTTTGTAGTTTTAGATATGCATCTTGTTAAGAGCCTAAGTTGACTTGGGACTTGGGTTGAGGGTAGAACGAGAGTTACGAGAGGAAGGGGTCGAGAGATTAGCCAAAGAGTATGATTCAATATTGAGCAAGGGTACAAATAGGAAAGAACAAACAACAATGGTGCACCACCACATAGGAAAACGCTATAACTACAGTAACCAATCCTACAGTCAGTTACATATAGAAAATATTAATTTATACTTTCCGACACGCCCCCATAACTGGCTGTAGGAGAGGAGTATGCAGTTAGCGCCCCCTGAAGGGGTACACCACGATTGCGCAGCGGAAATCTCCGCAACAAGCAAGTGCATTGGCAACCATTGCAGTGGTGGCAGATCCAGCTGTAGCAAACCCTGGGCCAAGGCAGAAGCAGTAGCAGAAGTAGGGGCGGCAGGTCGCCTGAGGAGCAGGCTCTGTGGCTGCAACGTGCAGCAGGACAGCAGCGGCTAGGCGGCAGCACCTGCAGGCCCCAGCAGCAGGCAGCAGAAACAAGGGCAGGTGGCGGCAGGGGCAGCAGCTGGAGGTGCCATGGTAGCAGCGGGAAAGCAGCAACAGATGCCCGGCTGACTTCCGCCACCCTCTCTCAACCCCCCCCCCCCCACAGCTGCTCGTGCAGCAGTGAGAGAGAGAGGAGGAAGGGCGGCTGTTGGCTCAACAGAATCTCTCTCGCCACCCCCTCACACTCCCCCTTTTCCCCCATATCGACAGGCGCTGCAGGGAACAGAGAGGCGCCAGCCACCCTCGCGCCTCCCCCCCCCCCCCCGCCACACCTTCGTCCACAGCGGAAGCCACGGCGGTGGGCGTGGTCGGCGTTGGTGAGATCGCGGGTAGGGGGGGGAGTAACGGGGGGGCGCAAGAGGTGCCGCGACGAGCGCCTTCGCACAGCTCGCCGTCGCGTTAGGCGACTGAAGCAGCCCGGCCGCCACACCCGCCGCCTCCCCCCAAAGCGACCGTCAATGCAGTCGCTCGGGGCCGCGACAGGGCGTGACGAGGCTGCAGTTGGGCGCGATGGGCAGGCGACGGGGCCGACGACTGGGGCCGCGACGAGCAGCGCCAAGCTCGCCATGTTCGACTTCGCAACATTCGCGACGAGCGGCTGAACGGGCACAGCTGGGGCCGCGACGTGCGCCATGGCAGGAGTGATATGCGGTGGGCCCATGGAAAAAAAAAAAAAAGAAATCAGGTCCTAGGATAGGAACCACTCTGATAACATGTTAAGAGCCTAAGTTGACTTAGGACTTGGGTTGAGGGTAGAACGAGAGTTACGAGAGGAAGGGGTCGAGAGATTAGCCAAAGAGTATGATTCAATATTGAGCAAGGGTACAAATAGGAAAGAACAAACAACAATGGTGCACCACCACATAGGAAAACGCTATAACTACAGTAACCAATCCTACAGCCAGTTACATATAGAAAATATTAATTTATATTTCCGACACATCTTAGGGGGTTGTAAGGAAATTTTCAGCATTCCTTACCGTGTTCTTCAACATCGCATACAGCAGCAGCCGTTGTTCGCTCGTTACTGCTAACGGCGCTTCGCCAACATCGCGCGTACTGTTTTGCCAAACCATGCACCGCTGGCCTGGCCAAGTCGGCCTACGCTTCGGGACTGGCCCGAACCTGGATGTCAACCTAGCACTAGCTAGCTCGCACGCACCGCGTTACCGTTTGCATGTTTCGCGTATAAGTATTCGCTCATGCCTTCGCTCATACTTTGTACTCGTTCAACACCTAGTCCAATTCTCGCTATCTCGATCCATTGCACTCGTAACACTTGGTATTAATAGCCACCTTCCTTTCTAACCGCGTATCTCCGCACCCAGAAAAATCAACTAATGATACTTGCACTCGAAGGGACTCACGCCCCTTAGCACCTAAAAGCAGCTGTCCTAACGTTCTCACGAAAACGCGTGCAGCCACGACCACGCCTAGAGCTAAGCTGAGCCGCCGCCCTTCGACATGGGGGAACGCATTGATCTTGCAACCCTCGCGAAGGAGTGCCTAGACCAAATGCTGCAGCAACTGCAAGAAAACACCAAGGAAAATGCGGCGCTGACGGCCGAGCGTGCGTCACTGCAAAACGATGTCGTACGGGCGCAACAAGCACAAGCCACACAAGCGCAAGGAGCACGACAAGCTTCGCAACACGGAAGCGTGGGGCAAGCCTCGAGCATGGCAAGTGATGGTGTCGCCTGCAACGATAAAGACAACGACCACGGCGCGACACACCCCGAAGCGACGAATGCGGTCAGGAGCCACCCGCGCGTCACAATTTTGGTGCCGAATGGCGAGTCAACACTGCCGTCGCCAATGCCACTCAAGTCGCAACGTCCGCCTTGCTTCGAACGAAGCCAACAGGGTGGTCCTACCATTCAGGTGTTGTTATTCACGATGAACGTATTTCGGCGAATATTTGATATGCCGTGTCGCTGCTGCGAGGACCCGCCATGGATTGGTGGCGCGTCATCGTCACGAAGCCGGTGGACTATTAGACTCTACCGACACGGAAAAGACAAACCGGACCCTGGGCGCCGTCGCATTGCATGGAAGTGCCTAAGTATCGCATGTGGGATGCGTGGTGCACAGGTGTGCACGCGAGATTCAAGCCAATTGCGGCTTCGATCGCAGCGCGCCAGAGGCTCCGCACTTGGTGCCAGCTTGGTTCCATCCAGGACTACACAAGCGGGTTTCTGGCGTTGTGCGAGTAGGTGGGCTATATGCATGAGAGAGAGCAAATCGACCGCTACATCGGTGGCCTGAAACATGACATTGCTCAGGAGATTCAGCTGTGCAACGTCACCGAATCTAATGAGATTCTCACAATGGTGGAGAAGCTCGATTTTCTAGGCCAATTAAGACCAGGGTCCTACGGCAACAGCAGCAGCTGGGGACATCGGCCTTGTGGGACGAACGAACACGCCACGATACGCGCTGTCACCGTGAATGTCGCTGCAGCACCGTTCAAAGGGCGCTTGTTCGCGTGCAACAGGCCGGGACACTGTAGAAGCGAATGCCCGGAAAACGCTAAGGGAAAGGGGGAAGCTGAGCAACAAAAACAGACCAATCAGCAGGAAAACGCTGGGAGTTAGTAGCAGACGGGCCCTTTAGTGACTGGTTACGCCGCTCGCCCGACCCAACCGACCCTCACCGAGTGATTGTGCCGGTTCACGCAATCGACCACACCCGGCCGAATAAGGAGGGTACAACGGTAGACATCCCCAACTGCTTAGTGGAAACTAGGAACAAACTTAGTTTAAATCTTTGTGGATGGGGGAGCCAGCCACAGCCTGATCAACACAACCACAGTATGGAGACTGAAAATGCCACTGGAAAAATTTTTACTAGAGATCGACGCACGACTGGTCAAACTGGCGATACGGGAACGCGTGGACTGAGTTTGGATCCGATGCGTAGCTTCACGTTTACTTAGGAAACGCTCGAAATGGCCCTCGACGGGACCGACATTTTACTCGGCCGTCATTGGCTGCGAAGACACAACCCGCGAATCGACTGGACGATGGGTGACTGCACCGTGCGAGTAAACAGTAACAACATCACCCTACCTTGCTGGAGCTTGCCTGAGTCTTCGTCGGTGCGTGTCAACGCGACCACAATGAAACACGCTGTAGCAGCAGGAGCTGACGTGTGTGCGGTTGAAATCCAGAAAGCCGAGGCAGCAGACAAGGGGAGTGACTTACAGAAACTGCTCGCTGACGTACCGGGTGACACGGCATTGTTATTAAAGCAGTATAGTGGGAATTTTCCAGACGACCTGCCGGAGGGACTGCCACCTAAGCGACCGCATGACCCTAGGATAGAACTAGAACCGGGGGCACAGCCGACAGTACAGCGACAGTTCCGTCTAACCCAACTCGAACTAGACAGACTACGGAAACAGCTAGATTACCTGCTCAAGAAAAAACACTGGGAATTTTGCATGTGCATAGACTACCGCGCACTGAACCGCGTGGCCATCAATTCCCGTTACCCCATCCAGTGAGTACACTAAACCCTAAACTACCCCGTATACAGTGTCACTGCTTACCTGCTCAAGAAAAAACACTGGGAATTTTGCATGTGCATAGACTACCGCGCACTGAACCGCGTGGCCATCAATTCCCGTTACCCCGGAAGGTCACAGGGTTTAGGGTCCGTGAGCTGCACGAAGCCCTGTGACCTTCCGGGGAAGTGCTTCGCGCAGCTCACGGACCATCTCCGTGCTCATTACGGCTTTTCGCCTCGTCCCGGACTGGGCCCCACTAGCTCGCTCCCTTAGCCCAGTGTTGTTTCAGATGTATGCAGTAAAGTTGCTTGTTGCTTATCAATCTAATTCTGCGATGTATGCTGATGTTGACTATAGTGCTGCTGGATCAATTTGCTCGCGTTTTAATGGTCTAGGATCCTTGCCTGTTACTAGTGTAGGTGCTTTTCCTTCTAGTCTAGGTGCTTGTGAAGCTACTAGCCCATATGTTCCTGTGGCTAATGCGTTGCTCTCCTTCAAGCTGGACTCCAGCGCGTCTCATTGCTTCCTCCGTGACCGCACGATTGTCACACCGCTTCCTGCTCCTGTTCCAGTTGCACCGGCTGCTCCTACTTCAGGACCAGCAGTTGCCCGTAGCTATACCACCCTCCCATGCCCAGTTGCTCCCTCTGGTGTTCTCACTATTCTTCACATTCCCTCATTCTCCTTGAACTTGGT